TTGCTTTTCACAGTGATGCACCCTGCTTCCAAATTGACCAACTTCTCCTATCTTCATCAGCTACAATGCATCATGATGTACCTATTAATAAATATCCTCATTCACTTCTGTCTCTGTGATCCCAGCTTCCTCAATTTGCATCTGTTCTTTGCTTGTTAACCCTTTACACACTGCTAAATTGGACAGCAGCTCTTTAGAGCAGCTGTCTTTGTTTATCTGATAGTGTACTACTTAGTACCAGGACAATTAACCTCTTTTTTGAACCTTTCATCACAATATAGCAAAATAAACCAACAATGTTTATACTTGTTTTTTAAATCACTGCCTATAGCAATGTGTTAAAAAAGGCTCTTTTTAATAACATGTACTTTCCTGTATTGTGGCTCTTATGAAATATGTCCTTGTCATTTTTCTGGGACTGTTCAGCAGGAGATGCCAGACAGGTTAATTATTATCATTTATTTGTGCAGGAAAGACCATAAAAGTTGTCTGCAGCAGAAAGCACACACTCCTTGTTGACAAAAAGCAGATGCTGCATGAATAGAAGCTGGAGAAGCCACCTGCTCACGTTGCTGTGATGTTTCTGCCTGCAAGCTAGAACCACCACTCTTAGAAGTCAGCAGAAAATTTAGTCACATTGCTTTGTTCTGTTCTTCCCCACTCTGGTGCTAATTTTGGACAGCCACTGAATTTGCAATCTGACCTTATATTCAGCAAGGGTAGCACAGTCCATCAAACCCATGTAAGCCATAGCAGAACCAGCCTCAGGAAAAGCAGATGGTATCAGACAGAAAGATGGAAGCTCTGACCATAGTTGTAGCCTTCACAGCTACTGGGCATCCTTGTCCTTTAAACAATTTTTAACCCAAAGCCAGCAGTGCATTTCCACTGTGCAAACATTAACTTTCAGGTCAAAGGGAACGTAGATGTGCATGGGTTAATCACCCACTATTTCCCTTCACGCTCCTCTTATTCAAAAATATGACTGAATTTTAAGTTGGTTTGCTCATACAGTCCAGATTTAATTTTGAACTAGTCAACAAAGAGCATGTTTTTATTTATGAGCTGGTCTTATGTTCAGCATCTTTTTGAGAGAAGTCCATGGTGGTATGCTGAGAATAAACTTCCCTGTGCAATTTCAGTAGGTGTGGAACCAGCATTTCTGTGCACAGGTAAGGCCAAGGGGCACAACATGCTGTACCACAGCAATACAATGCCAAAGTAGGAAAAAGAAACCACATTTCTGTATCTAATGGTATTTGCAGCAGGTGCTGGCTAAACAGCTGAACTGCCAAAGTTACATTTCACAGTCTCTCTGCTGCCACAGAGAGCTCTGAACATCTAAACCACCTTCCTTACATGCATGCTGGGGAATTGTCCTCAAAGTTGTGCTAAAGCCTGCCGTTCCCAAAGCAACTAATGCCACTCTGAAAAACTCTAAACATTGACAAATCTGCCTTTTTTTCCAGTAACTGTTTCAGACATCATCACTCCCACTGTTAGGGAGCTGCATCTCATTTCAAGATCCATTTAGAGTCAGGACCTCAGTATTGCTGTTCATTGCAGCTTTGCCTGCACAACTGGAAATCTCTTATGCTGCTCACATGGCCACTGCTAGTGACAGAGATGCTTCCTAATTTCTCCTTTGTGTCCTCATGTACTATAAAGAAATATATTTTCCACACTTACTGATCAGACATCAGAATAAAAACAGTAGCACAAAGTGGATAATAAATACTAAGAATAATACTTTTGGCTACATGTCACAGGCCCTCACTAGGTGGGAGAGCTTTGACATTGTTACTTGAAATTAAAGATTGCAACTGCTTTTATTTTTCTTCCCCTTTTCCACCTGAAAACTAATTTTTTTTTTCATAAAATCCCTGTGTGTCAGAGGACCTTAACACAGAGTGCTGCAGCAAAGCACACCCTAAGGAAAGCTTTACCTCTGCACACTTCCTGGTAACTTGCCAGCCAGTGACAGGTTCATCAATAATGATAATGGCTTTCTGTCGAAGCAAACTAGTGCACTAAGCCACACACTTGCTCAGCCCTACAAAGGAATCAAAGTAACCAGCATCCTTGTAAGGATAGTGAGACAGAAACATGACTTCTAACAAGAGGAACTGACTAACAAAAGAAATAGAAGGATTAAGCTCCCTTTGCAGAAAAGCAGAAGCAGGTTTTCAATCAGTGAAAACTGTCACCTTGTTATCCACTGAGAAATGAGAACCCAGACCCTGACTTCACCACAGCTGACTGATACTGACTGCAGGCTACAACTCAGCAGTTCATCCTTCATTTGTGACAAACAGAGCATATTGCAGCTGCCTCTGCAAATATAATCAATAATGAAAATTTGTATTAAGGTTGCACCCAAAATGCCATTACTGGATAGGTTTCACATGCTTAAAAAGCCAGTGGCATCCTTGCTAAATTTTCCACGCTAAGGACATACTCATATTCATTCTGATGATCCCCCCAGTCATCAAAGTGGTCACAGATCAACCAGAAAGCTCTGCCAAGCCCCTTGGGAACAGGGAAGGCTCACGGTTTATTTGCTCTACATTTCACCTGCATGGGAGGTCCAACACATCTCACATGTACCTGCACCAGCCACCTTCACTGACACCGCTGGAACACAGCAGCTGGGCACACATTTCTGCCTGGGAAATAACACAGAGACATTGAGTAGCTTGAATCTAAAGGGAGTGGGTAACAATGTTCTGATGTGAAATGTGTGTGCACCTAATACAAACCAGGGACAGACAGGACCAGAGATGAAGGAAAGCAGAGAAACAGAATTTCAGTGGTACACCAAAAGAGACAATGCACGGCACAAAGGAACAGAGAGGAAAATGGGAAAAAAGGGGAAACCAGAGAGCTGAGCAGGAAACACAAAGAGGAGTCTTTGTGACTTCTTGTCATACAGAGGGGTCAGACAAATGGGGCAAATGGGAGGAGAAAGAGGGATAGAATTTGTGGGAACAGGGAATGAGGTATAGGCAGACAGAGGCAAGACAGACAGAAGGGCGACAGGGCATGGAAGAGGTGTGTGTGTGTGCAGAGAAAAGGAAGGTAAAACACATAAAACAAGTGTGACATAGAAAAGTAAGTTGTCCAGTGTCACATCCCTAAGCTTGCAAGTGAAACATTTTTGGACAGCTGAAACAGGAAAGGTGGAAAAGCAACGTAACTAACTCCAGCTGCTCACATACTCCTGGTTCTGGCAAGAAGCTGGAGCTCCCTGCACAAATAAATGTAACATCATCCACATGCACAACTCCATTACTCATCACCTTGTCCTAAGAAGGAAAAATTATACCTAATTCTGGTTACCTGCTGAGATCTAAACAAACAAGATTCTTACTCTGGGCTAGAGGCCTATTTTAGAACACACAGACAGGTGAGCTGCAGCCAGGGGTTTGGCACTAAAGGTGAAGGAGGGAACAGCACCACAGTTTGCTTGGTCTGCTCTGCAGCTCCTTAGGAACCTGAGGGAGCCCAGACCTGGTTCCCTAAGACTGCACCTGACCTTAGGAAAACAATTCCAGCTTTCATTGTCAAAGGATCAGAGACAGACACTGGGGCTGTCACGAGCTGCACAGCTCACACATGTGCTCTTTATTATGAATATTTTGGTACCTTGTTTCTTCTGGTTGTAAATTAACAACCTATTTCACACAAGCACCTAAAAACTTATTGCATTCATGTTTACAACTACTCCCAAACCTTTCTGGAAATGGCCTAAGGAAAAGCAAAGCATCCATCTTTTTAATAAGTTTGACTGGTGTCCCCAGCTGTCACTTTTGTGCCTGATTAGTGGCAATAGGCAGGCTTCCATTTATTTCCAAGCAGCTGCCAGAAAAGCTGCAGGCAGAGGTAATCCAGAAACTGCAGAACTCTGCTCCCTGTCAATTTCACACTGGCATTTTACTTTCTTCTATCCCCATTTATTATTAATCTCTATTTATATCTAACTCCAGCTCTTAGTTGGCCTTTGCCAGAGGCTTAACCATTAGAGGTGACTGTGATGAAGGTGTGGAAAGAAGGAACAGCTATAAATCAGGCTTTTACCACTCCATGGAATTCTAGCAAAGTGAGAAACCGTGCAAAGCTTGGGCTCTTTAAGAAAACAAGACCCTGTGCAGGAGATCAGACCAGATCAAGTCTCCTTTATCTTTAGTGCTAACTATGTAAAGGAAACATCTATTTCACAGAACTCTCCTCCCAGTCATGCTCAGTTTTTACACAGCTTTATATCCCTTCTAAATTTCTATCCATTCTAATTCAGAGGATGTTCGTACATTCCATGTTTTCTGAATCCACTAAGTCCTCAAGCTCAGTAGGAGCATGTCACACTTGTTCCAAATAAGCACTGTATAAAAACATACTTTTTCCATCAGTTTTCAATGAATTGCCTTTTAATTTAATATAAAAAACAAGACACAATCAATTATGAAAAGATAAACAGGAGAACCTGATTTACTTTGCCCTCTCCAAAGTAAACAATTTTAATTTAAGCAGCAGAACTAACACCAGTTGTTTTCTACTAATGATTTTCTTTTTAAGGCTTCAAATTTTTTTTCATATCTTGCCTATTGCTTTTATCCCTTTTGGACAGGGATGAACAGTGTGCTCTAGGTGAAACAACACTCCATTCATTTAATGAAGGCATTCCATTATTTTCCAGACCACTCCTTACCCATCATTATGTTTTGCTCACTTCATGAGAGGCCCACTCAATGTCATCTTTCCTTTAGAGGTAAAATGAATGCAAATCATTGCAAAGACTGTCCATAAGTTTTCCAAATGGAGATAAGGGTGTCACATATATGTGCTGTGTATGATGAAGTTTCCCACAGCAGTGAGAGGCATTCAACTTATTGCACAGTTTCCCCAGATGTTCCCATAGATGCAGATGGTCTGCAATCCTAAGCAATACTCTAGGCTCCTGATTAGGTTTTTGAAAAACCTCTCTCCAAAAGGTTTTCCAAAACCTTTCCAAGTCTTTTCCAACAACAGAAGCTTCAGCAGGCTAGCCAGCTGTAATATCATTTTACTGTGCTTGACAGAAGCATTACTGTCTTTGAGCATCCAGTGGGAACAGGAATGTCTTCAGGAACTCAGAGAAGTTGTCTTCCACTTCTCCAGTGCTCAGTCATAATGAAGGCTCTTCAGTGTTCCTCCTCCAAACCTCTTCCTTTCAGAGAAGCCAGGAATCTAGAGGCAGGAAAGACAAGTTGTCATGTCACAATCAGCAGAGCTCCCTCTAGCCCACACTGTTACCAAGCCAACTGCAGCATCTCCCACCTCTGCCATCTCCAGAATCAGGGCCACAGTGCTTCAGCTGACTGCTCGAGGAGCAGCTCTAATTAAACACTGCACAGCTCCACTATGGCTCATCTGCTCTCTGGGGCTCCTTAAGAATTTTGGCAAGGGAAACTGAAAGCCTCAATCCTAACACAGTTAATGACAGATTTCAAAGAGATTTCAAAGCAGATTCAAGTGCATACAATAATTTCTCCTCCATTCATTTTTAAAACTATAAAACAGTATAAACCAAGTCCTATCAAAGAGCTGTTGAGGCTTTATGCCTTCAAACCCAGGCAGCAGCACTTCAGTGGTAGCTGAAAAGTACAGTTTTATCAATGACTGAAAGCTTAAAGAAAATCATTGGGACAGAAATGGCTGCAACAATACAAAGGATTAGCACTCCTGCTTTTGCAGCCCATCTGCAGACACTGCTTACACAGTGACAATGGATGTTTACAAAGAAAATCTACTTGAAACCATCAGAAGCTTCTCTGGCCTTAACAGCATTTCAGACAGATTTTCAATCCAATGCACCTGTGAATCCCCAAAAAAGAGTGATGTGCTGCTTTCTAATACTGCATATCTGCCCTATTGGCATCATAAAACTATTTGAACACAGGCCAGAGTAACTTTTACCTTACTCACTACAAACAAGCAGGAACAGCAGACCCTTGTAAAAACACCCTCCCAAAACAATTCCACACATTGATAGGAAATACAGTCTATTAAAATGGAGGGAGTCAACCAAGCCCTACAAATCATGCCAGAGAACATGGGCATCTATGGATGGTGGGGACAAAAATATAATCTACAATTTGCAGCAGATTGCTCAGGTTACACACTTCACTGGTAAGCAGAGAGCTGAAAAGCTTCCCCAAAATAAAAGTCCACTAAAAACTCCACAGATTAAATTTACTTGGGGTTTTCAGGCCAAAAACTCAAATATGCAAGGTATTCACTAAGGTACTGGTTTATTCACCTCTGAAAAGCAATCATCTCTAAGAATAAAATCAGGCAGATTTTGTACAAAGGTTCAACTCATGAAAACTGCTTCAGGAATTTAAAGAGGAAAATTGCAATCATTATAACTAAAAAGTACCTGAACATCATGGGTAAAAAGTTATCTGCTTTAGCATTTTTTACATCAAAGTCACTAATTAAGAGGAACAATTATTTATTTATCACATATCTGATTGAAGTCATAGCTATGAACAATTTGAAACTTATCATTCTTTTCATCTTGAAGAAGTTTATAACAGAAATACCTCAAAACACGAATAATTGCAGGAACCTATTGTAGAGAACCCACAAACACATTGGTAAGAGTCACATTAAGTAGATAACTTCAAAGGGTAACATTAAGAGGTTGCATTGAACTCTCCATTTCCAATTTGGATTTTGCCTCTTTAAACATGATTGCTTGCTATTTAAGATTTGTTTTGAGCTTTTGAGCTGCTGTCAGGGAAGTAGACAGTCATCAGCAGGCTGCAGTCTGTGGCACACAGCCAAAAGGAATGTATAGTTAATCCCTGGCTAGCCACTAAATAGGATCAAATGATAAAAATAAAAATCTTACATCATGCATCAAAGACAACCAGCACACAGGCAGGTTTCTGCATTAAGATATTATTCCCATGAAAGAGAAACTTCCTTTCACTAGAATGTGGGGAGGAGAGGGGAAGATAAAAGGCATCATGCAGAACTAAAAGAGGCAAAAGCAAATTTATTTTCAAAAGGCACTACAGCAGCACTCAGAGGAAACATTTTGTAACCTGTGAGTATTTCCCCCCCACACCCCAGGGGCTTTCAGCACAGCTACCTCTAACAATGTACAGGTGTGACTGTTCTCCAGAGATGCTTTTCATGGTAATCTGCAACACCTTTACATAAGGTAAATGCAACTTCACTACTCCCTGCATGGCAGACTGCACATGGGGAGGTGGGGGGCACAAAAGCTGTAGTGGCCTGCCCAAACCAGAAGTCATTTTGCTGGTACTTCCCCATCTAGCTGAAAACAGTGAATTCAGTCCTTTAGGAATGAATTACAAGCTGACATCATACTGCCACTTTCCTTGTGGCTCCACTGAGTCTCTGGAAACTACCCACATTAAACATAAAATCTCATTCCAGCTGTACAGAAAAACCCTTTCATTGACCTTCAGGATAGCATCTATGGCCTTAATCTGCAACCAAAGCTGACAGAGCTGAAAGAAATCATATTTCCCCATTTTACCTCACTCTTCCAACTTGTAGTATGTTAGCATACTTAAGTATTTCACTGCCAATCACTTTACAGACAAATACTTCAGCTGACAAAAGTCAGCCATTCTTCTGTCTAGCCTTAACAGTTGTGCTCCCACAGACACAAGAATGAAATTACCAGCACAGATTGCCACTTAGCTTGCATGAAGTTGTGTTTTCAAGAGGACTATGTCAGCAGTTCACATTACACAGGGAGAAATGAAACAAAAGAGGAGGAAAAGTGACAAACCTGATTGCCATCTCTCAAGACGTATCTCTTCTCTATGACCTGGGAACAACAGAGAATGAGCTCAGCTTGCACAGCACATACAGAACCTCAGATTGCAACCAACACTTCACACATGAGCACTGAACTCAGGGCTAAGGGACAGGGTCTGACCTACAGCTTTAGTGCAGTGCTCCAGCACACACAGCAGTGGCCACCCACAGCCATTCCTAGACAGCTGTCTAAGCTGTCTAATCATCCTCAACTTCCACACAGCCCTCCTGGGTAATGGAGGTGATGGTTTGTGTGCCTCCTGCTTCAGACTCAGTTACTCCCATTCCCTCTGCAGGGATACTGGTTCCTACCACTGCACAGTAGCCCCACTATGCTATCTTTGCCCAGAGGATGCTTAAAACAGAGCATTCCTTCTCTCATTTGCACAGTAGTACATTTGCCTCATGGTCTCTTTTTCAGGAAGGGAGAATAATATTCTTAATTAATTTCTTGATTCCTAAAGGTTGCTTTAACTAGGATCAACAGAGCTAACCAGTCTTGTATCCCCCCACATTACTAGCTCAGAATGCTGCAACCCCTCAGACCTGCCAGACAACTTCAAAAGCATAAACAGAGTGTCTTTGCACATTTGTGAGTTCTTTTTCACTGCTCTATGCAGATCAGGAACTAAATCTTCAAGCAGATCAGCTATCTCCTGTAGGGTTCCAAAAGCAGATCAATCTTTGGCCCTCCCACACCTGGCTTGAACCAACTCAGAGAGTGGAATGTGAAAGGAGCAGCTTAAACTGTTGTTCATGCTCAAATCCCAACATTTGATGCACAGGACAATAAAACATCATTTCATTGACTTACCTTATCAAAAAACCTGCTTAGTTTGACAGCATTGGATGAACCTGCAGCCAGATAACGAGGATTGGTGCAGTCCTAGAACACCCAAAAAGACAACAACAAACCAAGGAAATCAGTGCAAGGAAGCCAAACACAAGAAAATGGAACATACCCTTTCCCTGACACACACCATCAGCAAGGGAAAACAATGGATCTGCTGATTTCTGCTCCACAGTCACTTCAGAGAAAAGACCAACTGCACAATTCTAAGCAACCCCTCATATGCTCCACATATTCCTTCCACCACCAGCTGTGCAGTCAGGCAGGGATTTGTACAGATTACACCTGAGATTGGGAGTGTGTATACAAGCATTGACACAGCACATGTGTATTTTTATACCCACAGATCTATAAAAAGTCATCTTCATGTTTCATTCAAAGACAGTCTATGTCAGAGCTATGAACAAGAAAAAGAAAATTTAACTCCCAGCCAACAATTCAAAGCTTAAGGGACCTTACCTAATACCCCTTACATCTCCTAATAGTGAACAAAGATATCTGTTTCAACAAGCAAGGGCAGAGCTAACAGAAATGTGAATGACTGGCACTACTGGAAAAATCTCCAGAAGCCAAATTTTTGTTACATCTTTACTTACTAAAAATTGGACTCACTCCTATACAAAAGAAAAACAACAAAGATGACAAGGATACAAACCAAATTTATCTCTTCAGCATTGAAATCCTCAGCCAAGAATGCTGTTCTGGTCAAAACTTCATTCCTCTTAGTTTCTGGGATCTGATCCAGTTTGGTTCCTATCACCAGCAGTGGGATCTGGTTATCACCAAACTGCTCACGGTCATAGTCACTGCTGAGGGAAACAAAGACAATCCTGAAGGAGGCAATGGCCATGTAAGTGGGCACAAGCACAATATAACCTCCCCTGTGCCTCTCAAAAACCAGCAATTTATCTATTAATAATCATTTAATCTAAGTTAAAATATGCAATATCTTTACATTAAGGAAGAGCATCTGCACCTAAGTCACTACAAAGGAATCCAAGCTTCAATCACTCTCCTTAGCTAGAATAATCACTTGTCTATAATTTTTTAGCTAAACCAAGGTTTCTAGCAAATACCAACAGCAATAACTTCAGCAGGAATTGCTGGTGGCTGAACATCTGTCCTTGACAGGAGTTAAGCTTCTGAAAATGAAAACAATTGTGAAGAACCTGTCTGTGGAGACACTGGAGAATTTTGCAGTTTATACAATGCAAATCCTCTTTCCCATTTCCTACATTTCTACAGGACTGTTCTGTGTACCAGAACAGACAGATAAACAATTGATATTTTTCCCACAAAAAGCCACTCCTCATTATTGCCTTCCTGCTTACGTGTGAGGTTTAGCAATGATTTTAAAACCTCCTTGACTAGATGGATGACAGGAGCAAAGAGGTGCAGGAGGAAATCCTTGACAAGGTGTTGGACAGCTAATTATGAACATGCTGTTTAAGCAGAGTTTTTAAGCTCTTTTAGCCATGCTCCTAAAATCACTCCCCCATCACCCAAACCAAAAATGAACTTCCTCAGTCTTGGTGCATGGTCCTGTTTGCCCAGACACATTATCCCATGACATTTCCTCTACAATGGCATCTCTCAGTGCAGACAGAGAAATCTTGTAACTGGGACTGGACCCACTCACAGAGGGCTCAGACAAATAAAGGATGCATAAACATGTTTTCCCTTAAAGCAAGGTCTCTGCCACCCAGTTTGGGAATCTGCTGTCAGAACTGCCTGATATTGTCTGGCAGTATGAAAGAACAAGAATAATCAACAGACAACTTTCTTTGATATTCCCCATTTCTTTCTTTCTTCCAAGTCTAACCACATGTACTTTCCTGTGGAGACCAAGCACCCTTAGAGAGGAACAAAAACTTCTACAACTGCTTGGAATTACCAGGTCTGAGCTCTGCATGTTTGTTTTTCACTCACCCATTTGTCACAAGAACTCCTGTTGGAGCAACATCTCTGTTGAGTGCTTCCAAAGACCAGCGATACAAATTCTGGGATGATTTCTTGTTGGTCAAGTCATGCACTAAAATTATCCCTGCAGGGAAAGACAAGACAGCAAGATGCCATTTAAAGATACATATTCTCCTCCTTATCTTACCAAAATGACACCCACAGGTTCCCAGATATCTGAGAATGAAGGGATGTATAAGCAGTTCAGTTACAGTGAATAAGTAAGGTTGAAAATATCAGGATGCAACAGGTTTTTTAAAGCTGCTTATCAAGAATTGGCTAAGAGCTAGGAGAAAAATCACATGAAAGCAGGAAACAAACAACCATCTCAGCCTTTAATCTGCAAAAGGCTTGCAGGCATTCACTGATTCTGTCTACTTCTCATGACACTGAAATTCTATATTACTGCAGCAGAAAATTCAGCCTTTCTCTGGTAAACATAATTATCTTTTATCCCAACATCTATAAAGTCTGAAGTATTCTTCTTTGTTTTAAAGGAGTTCAGAGAGAACTATAGCTTTCCTGCATTTTCAAGAATTAATGCTATATATTTGGGGAGGTATCCAAAGGGAAAACAGACACCAACAAAATTTCATAGTCCACTAAATGGCGGGTAAAAGCATGAATAAATAAGACTTATTGTACTTAAGATTAAGTTTCTAGCATTTTTCATTAACATGAGCCTTCAAAATGTAAATTCTGAGACAGAGTCAAGCTTCCTAGCTGTGCTATTAACAGACACCCACTTCTGATAACCACAGTTCCTAACTCAATTACCAACTCCTGCTAGCAATTTCTTCTATTTATTCACACCTTCTGCAATATGTGGAATGTTCCCACTTCCTCCAGACTTCAAACTACCGTCAATTCAAGGACAAAATGGAATGATATCCCTTATCTGCATTAGGATTCATTCTCAAAACACTTCACAGCCTACAGGTAGAAAAAACTCACTAATTTAGTCTTTCACCATAACTTCCAGAGGTGCCACCCACTGCTATGAACAAACCACATTTCCACAAACATTTTCCACTGCCCCACATGACTGTGCACAGGCTCTCCCACGAGAGTTCCCAGCATATCACAGCTGTAGCCCTATTTCAAGGCATTTATCTCAGTAACACTATAAAAAGGCAACTCTGCTGCGTGCCCACCCCCAGCGTAGAGAGAAAATGCCTGATACAACAAAACTTAGCCTACAGCAACAGATCCAGAGGCAGTGCTGCACAGCCTGTGAGAAACACTCCCCACCTCTACACTCTCTCCCTCAGTTATGTCTTTGATTTCCTAATGTGCTTCACCTAAAACCTGCACACTTAGCAGGAAAAGGCTGTCAACATCCAAAAAGAGCAGGCAGGACCAATGACTATTCAAAGAAATGCTCCTCCCACAACAAGGTGTGCAAGCCCAAGCCTCCCTGCCCAGTCACTGTCCTCAGCTACCACAGTCCCCACACCAAGTGGAGAGCCAGCCAAGAGGAAGATCTGTGGATAATCCAAAACCAAAGTGTACCAGCCTGGTCAGCAGCCTGCTCAGCTGCTGCCACAACCAAACACTGACTGGCTTTCAGACCACTGCAGGCCCAGAAAGCACAAGCAGTCAGGCAGAAGGAATGCATTCATCTTCTCTTCTTAAATCAGGTCAAGCAGAGGCAATTTGTGAGACAAGCTCTAATGGAGAAATTAATCTAATGAAAGAAACAAGACCCAAGGTTAACTACCAAAGTCAACACTCCTCATATGCAAGCTGTCTAATTAGTATCTTTTGGGCAGCGGAGATAAATAACTCTATTTTAATGTCATCAATTATAACTCAGATGCACAAGTCCAAGACTTCATTTCCTAATGGGCTCTTCTAAGGTATTTCCAAGTCTGACCCACACTCCTTGGCACACTGTAGATTTGGTATCAAAAAGAAATCAATTTTTTTTCATATACCAAAGAGGCTTGCTTTGAGGGCACAACTCAACTCAATTCTCATACACAGAAATCTGGTTAACAATATAAGCAAGAGGTATCTAACACAGTTTTCCCCCTGAGAAAAGAGGAAGAAATAACTAGTTAGTCACAGGCCAAAAATGTTTATTGTGTGGCTTAACATGTTACTGAAAAGTCTTCAAATGAGAGGGAATAAGCAAAGAGAATCAAACAGAAAACTTGAGCCAGATTTTCAGAAGCAGTTCTTACTCTGATACACCTCTGTTTTTAGTGAACTCTCCTGGTATGACAAAAAGTAACAACTGAAATACTGCACTGTTATGTTTATAATCTCCTATTTACTCTTGTTAGAGACACAGAAGAACTACTAGGCTTTTAAGACAATATCTCAACAGAAGGCACAAAATACTACTTCCTACATATGCAGCAAGCTGCAAGATTCAACTCTTAAAAATAAGTTGGTAAGCTAAATGAGCAGAGGCAAGATGGTTATCAGCATATGGCAATTTTATGGGACACAGTTCAGATTTGCCAGGGTAGGATGTAACGATCAAAGTTCATAAAAACTGAAAGAATCATTTTTCTGCTGTAAGTTTTACAACCGAACAGACAAGAAAATATAAACAAACAAACAAAAAAAATCTTTAAAAATATAAATCATATATCTGCAGTATATCAGACCCAGAAAGGTGAAGGTCTGATATACCTTCACTGCACCTTCAAAGCCTCCCTGCTGTGCCAGCAGCACAAGGCTGAAGGGAAAGGCTGATAGAGCTCATCTGCACAGGTTTGCCTGAAATATCTGCTGTTCACAGCTGAATCCATAAAATTCTGCCTACAAATAATATCATTTTTCCTGTATAAATCAGAAAGGAGAACAATGTAGTCCTCAGGCAGGCTGCCTGGAACTCTGCCCCAGCATCAAGGGACAGCTCCTTGCAGAAACAGTATTAAAACCACACTTACACCAAGCAGACTTACCATTCAGCAAATTATAGAACACAGCTCGTGTGCTTTTCACACTGGTGGCACTGCCCACAGAACCTCCAACATCCCACAGCTCAATGTAATAGGTCTTCTCTTCTGGGGTTCCTTCTTTGTAGTCATGGATCTGATGAAAAATTCACATCACACATAACCACAGCACACTACCACAGGAGTTAATCCACATGGCACAGCTGGAAGGATTATTGTACTTGGATAGAAATTTGGAAATTCTCATGCTGACACTGTTTCTAACCTCTCAAATGGAAGAGAGATGGAATGAGTCAAGCAGCAGCCACTGGACACCACAGAGATGGAGATCACCATGTCATGTGAGAGGGAGCCTGGTGAGTGAACAGGGAGCACCCTTTGCATCTCAGTGTTAACAAATCCAACATCTCATGATGTGCTCAGACACAGTGTTTTGCCAAAGCAAATGGAAAAATTAAGGTCTTGACTTCTTACAGTTGTTAAAACCCACACAGCAGCACTGCAAGAATATTAACACAGGTGACAGACCTGGATTCCAACTAACCACATCTTTTTCCTACCAAACTCTGACATCTCAACTGAATTAATCAACAACTTCTGCCCCCAGATCTGCTGAGTAGTTTTGCCCATAATCAAACAGGACTGCCATGTTCCTCTCCTCAGATTTTGGAAATACATTTCTAACCTAGGGCAACGCATTTCAAGGAGAATGCAGCAAAGAGTGATGAAGGAAAAAATAATTTATCAATGTCCCATGAGGGCTGGAGGCTGGGCCAAAGAACTGCTGGAGGAGCATCCTCATTCCTCCCAGAGCAGGTCCTGCAGCAAGCAGTCAGGAGCAGCAGCAACCCCATGGTCACAACTGTCTCCAAAGAGCAGGTTAGAAAATCACCACTACTTCATTGGGCAGTGAGATGCATCAGTAGCACTTCACCAAATGTGTACATCAGTCACCAAAACTTACAGTTGTTTATACATTTTGGCAAACAAAGGAATTAGCGCTCACTGGCTCACTGAGTGAGTTCTCTTCATTAATTAGTATTCAATCTTCTATTGGTTATTGATTTCTCACTTCTCATGCTATGTAGCCCACTTTTTCAGCCTCTTTTATTATCTTTTCCCCAGGTCTTATTAATTGTCTTTGTTAGTTTCTTCTTCAGCTCTGCTTTCTAACATGTCTTTGTGGTTTATGAATTCTGCATTCCTGGTGTCCAGCTCTCACCAATAAATTTCTCCTGTCAATTTCTTTACTCAGGTCTAAGAGCACTGAAGCATGCCAGGCCCTAAAATTTAATTTGTTTTTCAAACACATGAGCATCATCCAGAGCTTTCCTGTGTTCCCACAAGCTAAATGAGTGAACAGTTTTTCCCCACTGTGTTTGGCTGACATTTTGGCTGTTCCTTGCCTGTTTCTCAATGAGCTGGCCACCCTGTGACTTGTAACACGCCAGTGGCCACTGCAGCAGGGAGCAGAGCTACGGGTGACAAATGTCTTGTCTGACAGTGGCAACCCTGGAAGGTCAAAACTTGCTTACACAAGTGCTTGGCTCACGTTTGATGCTACCTGCATCAGATGAAGCCCTCAGCAAAAGGCATGACCAAAGTACAGCTCTGTCTGGGGCGGTAAGTCATTGAAATAAAAGGTCAAGGCCCTTCCCTTACACGTCAGCCTCAGGGCCACCAAGAGGCCTGCATGTCACCTACTCGCACATCCACGGAGCAGCCCACAGTCCAGGACGGGTTTCCCAGCACCTGGTTGTGGCACAAGAGGTGAACGAGGGACGATTTCCCGACACCTGCAGCGCACAGAGAGAGAACAGCTCCTGGGGGCGGTGCCAGGCTTACAGGGGGCGAGGCCGGGAGCAGCACGGAGCGAGGGCGGGCGCTCCCGGCCCCTCAGCGGTAACGGGGAGGGAGGCGAGGAGCAGATCGCCAGGAGCGGCCCCAGGACGCACGGCCTGGGGACACCACGGACTCACCGGAGTCGCCCAGCACCAGCACCTTGACCCTGTCCAGAGCCGCCATCTTTACCCCGCTTAGCAACAACGCCCGGCCACCGGCGCGCCCGCCAATCGCGGCGCGCGTTCTTGCTGCTCCTCTCAACCCATTGGCTGTCTGCTCGGACGGCCAGCGCGTTATCACTCCTGATTGGCTTAGCCCCGGCGGGGGCGGGAAGGCGCCGTTCCGTACGGGCAGGCGATTGGCTCGTTTCCGTGTCGCTCGGCAGGGAGGGGCGGCGCGGCGCAGGCGCGGGCGGTGCCGGCAGAGGCGCGCGGCGGTGACGCGGTGGCGGAGCCGCTGGAAGCGCCGCCCGGAGCCGGGAGAGGTGGAAGCGGCGCCAGGTCAGTGCCGGCCCCGGGAGCGCGGGGTGCCTGCGGCCCGCGGAGCCCCCGGCCCGGCCCGCGGAGCCCCCGCTCCCCGCACCTTGTGCCCGTCTGGGCCCCTTCCTCGCCTTGGCTCTTCCCACCGTTTGCCGTTCCTCCTGCGGTGTTTGTTGAGGCTTCTTTGTTTTATTTGATTTTTTTTTTTAAAAGAGGTTCTCCTGGCCTCCTCTTGCCCTACACAGTTCGATGTTTAAATCTCAACACATGAAATGGGCAGGGAGCGGGAAGCTGTGCAGGGACTCTCCCGCTGACTGCGCTGGAGCTCCTGTGCTGTGTGTGATTCTGAGCGGGAGCTCACTGCCAGAGCCGGCTCGGTCCTGCTGGGCTCATTCCTCTGAGCCGGCTGTGGAACCATTCCGTGTTCCAGGCCAGCAAGGTGACGTTTGCTCGGTGGGGTTTTTTATATACATTTTTTCTCTTTTGTTGCATTATTACGTTATTATTATTTCATTCTCTCTGGCCTCAGGAGCGGGCTGGTTCCCGAGAACAGCAACATAGTGGCTCCGAGCTGCTGTGAAATGGGTCCGGCTGTAGGCCTGTGCCATTCCAGGCGGCTCACAACGAACAAGGAGGATCAGCAGTCTGGAAAGGGGGTTCAGCTAAGGTGCATTTTCTTGAAGTCTAGGTAGCTTAATGTTTTTCATCCACAAAAGGTGGAGTTTTTTCTTTCATCTTTTCCAGCGCAGCGGCGTCCTCTCTTACGTGCTGGTTCTGTTACTCGTCAGCGTTCACCGCCAGCTCACTGCACTGTTGAAAAACATAGAAAAAAGGGGAAAAGAAAATATTTTTCTACCTTTAAGCCATCAGTTTGTTGTGCAGGATGGTGTTGTGAGGGCAGCGCCATGTGCCTGGGAAGGAGCACATGCTTTCAGGCAGGAGTGAGGCTTGATGGGAACTGCATTCCTGCCTTCCACTTCCTGTGACATGCAGCTCACTTGCTCACAGGATGCTTTAGGGGATTCTTGTGAACGAGAAACTGTGTTAATTAAAGCTAATCTGCTGTCTTGTTACTTAGTTTCTTTCTTTATTGCTTATATCCACGGTATGTACCCACTTATTTGCACTCTCATGCACTAGAACTGTACTGGACCCAATACTTCCATAACTTTTCATTGTCTTTCTGGAGTTTCCAAAAGGCAATGTTGCTCACATCATCTATCATGATGAAAAGTGTGGTGTTCCAGGTCTTATTGAATCCATAACATGAAAAGCAATTATTGCTTTTTTCCTGTCAGAAACATAGAAAGGAATGCTGGGGTTGAGTTCACTGTGCTTTGGTGTAATCATGACTTCCTAGGCTTGATATGTGAGAGAAATGATCTTACTTTCTTCCCTTTAAAGAAGCCCCCAAAACCTTACAACTACATTCTGTGAGGGCTGATGCTTGCACATCTCCAAAATAACACATATTCTCCTGGTAGGTTCAAATCAGTGTAAATTGTAAGAGGTTCTGGTATCCATAATTAAAATTGTTCACATTACAGTTAGGTTAATTTGCCACCATGTGGGGGAAGCTCCCCACTCATCTACATCCTTAGCCATGCATTCTTTTCTCTGTTTTGTTTTGGCTCTAGTCTGGTAACTTAAATCATTCAATTCTTGAACTTTTCCCCTTTGACCTCTCTGAAATGTCCCATCCCACTTTTTTCTTTTGGCAAGTTAGTTTTTCACTTTTTGTCACTTGATTCTTGTTGCTACATGAGTAGTGGACTGCCAGAATTAAGACAGAAGGGTGTGGGGCTTGTGGCAAAAGGCAAGGAAGGAAAAGAAGGACTTCCCTAGGGGAGGGAGGTGTAATTTGACGTCAGCTGCAACAGGAAATTTCATCCATTTGTGTGCATGCACACAGGTGGTCCTTTAATTTCCTGACACCTTGCTATTGTTTATGCTGGATTAAGATTACAAAAGTGATTGAGAATGACATCCTGAGCCTGAATTGTTCAGTTTCTGCCTGGTGTGGTCAAACCTCGTGGCCCTATTACATCTGGCTCTGTGTGTTTTTATTTGTGAAATGAGAGGAAAGCACCCTCATTTCAGCCAGGCCCCTCAGGCTTTCTGTGTGCAGCTGCAGCACAGCTCCTCATCCTGAGTGAAGAAAACCCTTTGGCCTCCTGGTTTCAGTTTATGGAAAGCCACCAAGAAGGGATTTCAGTGAAAGCAGATTGTTCTTTTCTGCCCTTATACTTCAAGGCAGGTCTCACAATGAAAATACACTTATTTCCCATCCAGATGTAGTGCAGGAGAAAAGCTGAGCAGCACTGTTCATGAACTCTCCAGGGAATGAAACTCAGTAAGCTCTTGATAAAATGTCAGAAGATTTTATTTTGCAACTGATGTGGGATAAAGGCAGTTCTGGGCTCACTACAGAGAAAAGCAAGTGAAAACAGGACTTGAAAGTGGAAGATTCTGTGTCCTTTTCTGGAAAGGATGAATAGTATCTGAGGTTACATTGTACAGACATTGAAAATATTGATAACATGTTTTCCCACTGCAGTTCTGAAACTTATGTCTTCCCTTCCTGTTCTCAGGAAGATTCAGGATTGCTTCTCTTAGCTAAACCTCATCATCTGCTGAAAAGCAGAATTTTAAATGTGCTTAGAGTGAGAGACTACAAAACTGGGATCTGGTGTTTGCAAGTGACAGCTGGAGCAGGGTGTGGCATGCTCTGGCTCCAGGAAGGCTGTTGTACCTGCCACATTCACAGCAGAGGGGATTCTCTTATTATATCCTGATTTTCATTTTACCTGAAGAAACTATGTCAGTGGTGTAAGTAAATAACGTTTCCTCCCCTTTCTTAAGTATCTTGTGTCAGAAGCTTGAAGAAGCATTTTCTAAGCTGGTTTCAATGATTTAGTGGGAAAGAGCACTAATTAAATAAATGTGGGGGAAAATAGGAAGGACCTGTGCAAGAGTTAACAGTGTGTCTGATAGCCTACAGCCAAACCTACAACTCCAAGTTTTCCTCCAAAAGAGATCTGGGGTGTTTCAAAAGCTTTGTACATCCTTGTGAGTCTGAAGCAGTCTGCTTCCTTATTAAGATTCTGCTTCTAAAGATCCTCTGTCAAATATGTTAATGGTGAGACCATTGAATTTGCTGGATAAAACTAATGTAAGTCTCAAAAGTTGCGAGTTGAAACAGGAAGATCTACATTTGCAGTACTGGATAAAAATTCATATTAATTCACTGGCTGATGTAGGTTTTCATATTTTCTAGTACTGTTTTCATCTACATTGTGGCTTCTAGGTTACCACCCTTCTAGCACTTTTTGTCTCAGTTTGAGTCAGGAAAAGCAGGAAGAAACACAGATCTAACTTCATTAGCACAATTCCTGTTAGAGTTCATTGGAATTGGAAACTCTTGAAATTGTTGTATGCGGAAAAGAAGGGTTCAGTTGTTTTGATGTTGCATCAGGAAGGACCTGAAAGTGGAGATGTTTGCTCAGTTTAATTTCTGCATTCTGTGTGGTCTCTGATCCCATCATACCAAAGGGTTTTTTGCAGTCACCTGCTCTCCCCCTGACACCCTTTCTGGCATCTCTGGTTATGCTGAAGGCCTCACACATGTTACTAAACCTTAGGTACAGTCTTGCAGAAGGTATCCTTATTTTCTTCACCCAGCAAATCTGATTGTGTTGTGTAAGTGTCTTTTTCCAGTGTTGCCTTTTATAGACACATCAATATTAATTCTTTCAATTACAGCAATTTTAAAAACCCAACAGATGTGTGTTTAGGTTTGCTGTCCTACTGTGTTAACACAGCCAGGTCTGCTTTCCTCCTGCACCCAGAATACTGAATTGTATTAATGTGATTACCCAGAACAATTCCCAGCCAACTGTCTCTTTTAATAAAGTCCATGTTTAAATTTGGAAATTCTTCTTTTGGCTGTTTCTGAATATGATGCTGTCCAGTGTGCCTTATCATTGATGCTGGAGGTGCTTACTGGCATAGTTGAGTATCCTGGCCATTGAATTTTTTTTGCCTCAAAATGTTCCTTGATGTTCATAAATGATTCAGGTCAGTTCAGACATTATTATGAAACAGATGCACGCCCATTAAAACCTTGTTAAAGGTGTTACCATATTTCTTTGCACATGTAATTAATGCAGGTTTGACTTACTGCTTCAGCAGAAGGTGAAATCATTGCTAAAGGATGCAATGGTAAAGTCCCCTGGGTTTGAATTTTGTGAGCTGCACCAGTGTCCTTTTGGCCTGGTGAACGATGGTAAGAATTTGCAGTTTAGGGATTAAAAGCCTTGGATTCTTCATGGGCCAGGCATCACTTGGCCTGGTGAGATCTGGCAGTGGAATGCACTTGCTTTTGGCTTTTTATTCCCTCAGAAATGGCACTAGTCAGTTGTTTGTTTCACCCAAAGACTGTTTTCTGCAGGATTTAGAACTTAAAGTGTGTTAATCCACTTTTGAAGTGGAGGATAACAGGAAAGAATAGTTTCTGGTGTTTTCAGAATGCCTGTATTTCCATATATCTCCACCTGGAAGGAAACAGTATCACAGTCAAGATGTCCTCTGTTACCTGAGAACACAGAACACTTGGACATCACTCAAAATCTCCAGCAGAATAGAAGAAACTGTTAAAACTCCTACTCCCACTAGATGAAAAAGAATATTTTCTAGTGATTGACACTAAGAAATATTATTAAATC